GTAAGATGTTTTAAACAATCAAAAAAAATTTACTTTTCTTTAGTATATCTCGATAACGCATTGAATTCTTTATCTCCGTTAGCATTGTCTCATATTTCTTTAATTATGTCCTCGACATCTATAAAACAAAAAAGTAGAAAAATGAAAATAATTTCAAATGTTGCAATTGCGCATAAGAGAGAGAGAGCGCTTAATAAAAATATATATATATATATATATATATATATAAAATTATTATTAGTATTTCTTAGTAGCATTTTTTAATTGAATATGGATTTTTTTTTTGCAGGAGTATTCAGTAAAAGGAGTAGTAAAGGTTAGTATGTAATTAACAATATTAGAATAACTTAACTTTAAATATATTCTGTTTTATACTTGATATTATATATATACATAAATTTAACATCTATTCTAACATATCATATTGATATGTATGATAATGCATGAAGAAGAAACGTTTTAAAAACATGTTATTTTGAGAATTTTATGTTTAATGTTTACTCTTTTCAATAAGAAATTTATAATTATTAACACATGTACACTCAAGGGCAGGAATGATGTCTCTAGGCGACTAGATGTATACGTGTATGACAGGTGAAAGCCGGACACCGCGCTGTCTAGCCAGTGCGGTGTTCTATAACTGTCTCACTCGCACTCCCTGCATTCAATTGGAATGAGTGAGACAGATATAGGACACCATTAATTAGCATCACGTCTTGCATTGCTTTCTCTCTCGATCATATGACTTGTGATAAGGATGCAACATCGGAATGCTTCCCACTTTTTTCTCCTTCCCTGCTTGATCTTCGCGCTTCAGGTGATACATATACATACGCGATCCGTGTGTATGCGTGACGCTTTCGGTTGTCATATACATATACACCGCTTAACCGTCGAGGGACACCATTCCTGCCCTTGAGTGTACACATAAATAAATTGAAAAAAATTTGTGTGTGAATATAATATATTATTATTATTATCATTATCATTATCATCATCATTATTATTATTTTATTTTATTTTTTTTTTAGGATATCAGCCAAAAAGGTGATCCAAGTACCTCTACATATTCACAACAATCTATTGAACCAGTAAAAATTAAATCAGGTATTTCATTTCTTAATCTTTTTATTATATTCTTTCATCTTAATTTATTTTAATTTGATAAGCAATGAAATTTACATTTTTAATAAACAATAACGAAATCAAAGAAATTCTTTGAAAATGTGAAAGATCTAAGAAACAAAATTGAATTTTTAAACTTAGTGTGTAAAAGAACTTTTTAAAAAATTTTTATATGTTTATAGAAAGTGGAGATGTCGCGTCGACAAAAGAAACACGTGGTCGACGCAAAATGGAAACTATTTTTGTTACCAGGCCAGCTACTTTAGTAACTAAAAAAGGTTGGTATAAGAGTTTTTAAAACGTTAAACTTTTATCAGTTTGTTACAATTTACACTAATTGTATATTGAAGAATCAATTTTTAATTTTGTTTACAATGTTAATAAGCTTATATATATATATGTGTGTGTAAATTTATTATATATAAGAAGTGGCTAATATTTATATTATACTTTTGTAATATTTAATTTTTTATTTCTATTAATTTATAGGAACGTCTGGAAAACATATAGTATTGCAAACTAATCACTTTAAAGTGCCTACAGTACCTGATTGGTGCCTTTATAAATATCGAGTTGATTTCGAACCAGAAGAAACTCGTACATATATTCGAAAAGGTTTGCTTAGACTTCATAAAGAAAGGGTTGGTGTATATATCTTTGATGGTACAATCTTGTATACAAGCTGCCGTTTACCAGATGTAAGTATTATATATCAATATATATTTCATATTACTGTTTGTATAATTAAAATATACCATTTAAACGTTTTTATAAATATGTTTCTTATAAATAAATACGAAAATTTTAGAAAGTGGAACTGGTATCAACTAGACAATCCGACGATACACCTGTTAAAATTATTATACGTCTAGTTGGGGACATGATGCGGGATGATCCGCACTATATACAATTTTTTAATATAATAATGAGAAAATGCTTAGAGCATTTAAAATTGCAACTGGTTGGCCGTGATTATTACGATGCTCGTAACAAGGTTAATAAAAATTTATACGGATATATTGACATTTTATTAAACTCAGAAATTTTAATAATAATTTTTATATATTATATAGATAATGATATTTGTGTATATGTTATAGGTTGCCATACATCAATTTAGACTGGAATTGTGGCCTGGCTACATTACATCCATCAGACAATATGAGCGCGACATTCTAATGTGCGCCGAAATAACACATAAAGTAATGCGACAAGAAACTTTGTTAGATATATTAAGTGATTGCTACAGACGTGGTCAGGATTACAGGGTAGGATAACCATCAAAACTTATATTTGTATGCTTTACATTTTCATATTTTATTTCATATA